GGGGGGGGGGGGCTTAAAGGAGAGAAATCACATGGGAAAATGCACAAGCCCCTCACCCCCACCCCCGGCAGACTGTTCCCTGCCCTCCTCAGAATCACAGAAACGACGATTCTCATCCCCCACTCCCTGCTCTGGGGTTCAGTGTGCCAGTCGAGCAGGTGAGGAGCGTGGCGAGGGCAGTCGATCGGCGGACGAAGAGCTGCTCTGGCTGGACTGAAAATAAACCGTCTTATGAAATAGCTTGTTGCTAAGGAAGACGACCAAGGAAAAGAGGCGTAGCTGGAAGTGGCTGGAATAGAAGACAACCTCTATTAGTTTCTTAAACTCTTATCGAGATCCCTTTAATTTGTGGACGTATGAGTGGTCCTTGACTTACGACTTTTGGCAGTTTTTCACATGGCCATTGTGGTCATGTGATCAAAATCCAGACATTTGGCAACTGGTATGTATTTCTGACAATGGCAGTACCGCAGGGTCACGCAATTATCTTTTGTGACCACCTGTATTGCTTTACAACTGTGTTACTAATTTAACAACTGCCGTGACCCACTTAACAACTGTGGCAAGAAAGAACATAAGATCAGGCAAAATGTACACAACTATCTTGCTTAGCAAGGGAAATCTGGGGCACAATTGTGGTCCTAAGTCGAAAACTCCCCGTATTCTGCATTAGGGCCTTTCAACATACCAGATCTGCCTAACACCAATTAATGATGTCAGATAACAGTTCTTACCAATTTTTCTCTACTGCTGAAATCTTTGTCAATAATGCAGATATGTGGCAAGATGGGGGGGGGGGCCAAACAAATTTAATTAATAAATAAAAAATAAAACTTTTAGACCTAGGCGTAAAAGTTTATGAGCAGTAGAGGTTTATAAGTAGTAGAATCTTTTCTGCTTAGCGAAATCAGCCATAGCTGTCAGGACAAAAAATGGTACACAGTATAATCTATTTCACTGGGCAGAAGTCTTTACCTATACAGACAATCCTTGACTTACAACCAAAATGGAATCTCAGTTGAGACTACTTGAGTGAGGTAGTCATTAAGCAACACATATGCTTTATGGCCCTTTTCTGAGTCCATTGTTAATCTGAACTATCATTAAGCAAACTGTCATAAGTTTAGTATTATCTGCATCTTTTCCTGATAGCAAAATATTCTTTTATTTCTCACTCTAGGTGAAAGGCACTCAGTTACTCTAACAAGGAAATGAGCAGCCCGGGGTCTTGGGATTCACGTAAAATCTTGCATTTTGCAACCTTCAATATCTCCTTTTTTCACAACTGCTGGGTTATCAATGTTTTGCCATTTTTGACATGAATACTGAATAGGACCCTTATCAGTTAATACGTGCTTGCCAAGCACTGTTCATGTCAAAAAAAAGACACTGGTATTCTTCCCAATCAAGACTGTAAACAGCAAGCATGTTACAACTCCCCACCAATCATAAATAATAAAATATATAAATAATAATTATAAGTAAAATAATCATAAATAGAAAAATCCTAATTTTATAGACCTAATACAGCAAACTTTGGATGTGGAAGACAACATTCAAGTTTGAACACCTTAAAATAACAAAGTCAGCTGTTTCCAAAGCTATCTAGATCACTGATATACTTGAGCATTTATCAAATAATATATGCATGCAAATGCTGCATACATAACTATATGTGTTCTCCCCCATCAGTTTGTAAAATCAAGAATTTACTGTATTAAATCCCTGTCAACATTTCTATCATTCTCAACCTTTTCTTCACCACTATTATCTTTAGTATAGTGTAGCCTTTATTGTCATTGTATATCACGTATACTACAAAATTGGTTTTAGCCTCATTGGTGCAAATCCATGACAAAAAATACAAACAACATAAATAGTATAAAGAATAACCCCTATGCAGGTTTAAATACCTTTTGTACCCATGGATTATGCCCACGAACCCCCATGAATGAACTCAAGATTTAAATCATAACATTTCTTCAAATCTTCATGGACCCCTTGTGATACCATTGCAGCCCACCCCCACCCCAGGGGTCCACAAACCACAGGTTTAGAACCACTAATCTAGATGAAATCATTTTCAACACCAAGAAAAAATATATCTAGTGAGACCATTAAGAAAAAAGAAATCAGCAATTTTAGGTAGACCATAATTCTCTCCTTACTCACAAAAACATGTTTTTAAAAGGTAATGGGTACTTACTATGCTCTTCCTGGTGTCTTGGATTCATTGGCGCTGATAATAAATAGAGGGAAAAGAATGGAGAACAAGCAGCCGCTGTGGGGAAAGGAGGCGGGGAGAGAAAAGAGAAGATGTGATACAAGTCTCTCTGCAGACTTTTTTTAAAAAGGGGAGAATGGATAAACTACAGAATATGATGTGCATGAAAAATCTTAATGCAGAGTACAGAGGTGAGCATAAACTTTCTATTTTGGTGCAGGGTTGTTGTTGTTTTTTACATCCTTAAACTGAATCAAGTGGAGCATGTCATTATAAGCATTTATGCTACCAAGACAGCACACTGTGGTTTTTAAATTATGGTAATCAGCTTAGGGCTATACTTGAAACAAGTGTCGTCGTTTTGATAAACTCTAGGTGGAAAAAACCATTATCTTAACAAGATCTGAGAATCCAACCACACATACAGGCACACGCATATACCGTATGTGTATGGGAAAATGAAGACGACAGTATAGTAAATGAATCTGTTTTTCCAAATGTTGTGCCTTAAATGTACGAGATTTCAGACTGCATTTATTAACTTGCATGCTCCTTCAATCACTGAAAAAATTGCTCATACATTATGAAGTTTTGAAAGCAACCTTGGGCTTAGTTTTTATGTACCTCTTCTTAATTTTAATTGTTTTCATATTTATCTTTTACTGTTTTATAAGCTGCCCAAAGTCACCTTACTGAGATGGGCAACATATAAATTTAATAATGGGCAATGTATAAATTGAATAAATACAAAATAACAAAGAACAATCCAAATATCCAGCATCCAAATGCTGTATCCACATCTTTTGTCATGCAGCTTGCCATTTAATGTAACATAGCTTCCCCTATATCAGGGGTGTCAAACTCGCATCGTCATGTTATCATCACGTGGTTCCCCCCCCCCCCGCCTTTGTTAAACTGGAGGCGGGCAGGGCCAGTGCATGATGCATCCAACCTACGGGATGCAAGTTTGAAACCCCAATCCTATATCATAATAATTTGTTAAATTTATGTACCACCTAAGTTTTTATATAGTAGGCTCCCTCTTGTCCCCTATAGCTGACACATGGAATGAGTGCTCAGCAAATCCGCAGCAGAAAGGCCAGCATCCAAGTTCTGCCCAGATTAATATTCTGGCATAACTGGAAATAGAAAATAGTACTGTACTTATAAGAAAATGTCTTGGTTTTCCTGCACTTTATCATGAAATATTCATTCATTCACTCATGATTTAGAGGTTGTCCGACTACCCTGTTTCCCTGAAAAATAAGATCTCCCCGGATAATAAGCCCCATCGGCTTTTGAGCACGTGTGCTAAAACAAGACCTCCCTGAAAATATTGTAACATAGCCGCAGACATGAGGTGACACGCTTGCTGCCTCCTGCACCTCAAAAATAATAAGACCTCCCCGAAAATAAGGCCAAGCGCTTATTTCGGGGGGGGGGGAAATCAAAAGAAAATAAGACCCTGTCAAATTTTCGGGAAAACACAGTATGGATGACTCTGGCGGCTTACACTTTTAAAAGGTGGACACAATAAAATAGAACAACATTTCATGGATGTCCAGAAGAAAAAGCCACACATTTCAATTAAATCTTCAGGGGCTCACAACAATACACCAAGACCAGCTTTTCAAAGGCTTTGCTTCTAGCATTGCTCTGAGAGATGTCCTTGTTTTCCTACCCCATTATCATTTACACCAGGTCTCTTTCCAGTAATTCCCTACCTACGTTTCCTCCTATCCTTCTCACAGATAAGAAAAAGGCAGGCATGTCTCCAGTTTCTCAGTAGGTCACCTGATAATGTAAGAAGACTGCATTGCGGTGAGAAAGGCCAGTGGTAAACCAAATCCAAAGTAATAAGGCCAGTTCCTTTCAATGTTGGATAATCGTTGATGCATTTCAATTCCTGGCAAGAGAAAAGCCCAAAACACATGGTTCAAAGAATTAATGCTGTGATATAATACTGGGTTTCATATTTCAGGAATTACGATCCCAATATTTCCTACTTCACATTCTAGGAAGTATTATGTGAATGCACCTCCAACCCAGGTATCAGTATTTTACTCATCACTGTTGATAATGGAGACCTCCAGCCGCCACCACCACCAGCAGGCAGAGAATAAAATGTACTCTTTAATTTTTCAGTTCTGCTTCTGCCACTGGAGAATCTCCAAATATTCTACTGGAAGAGGGTTTGATGGGATTTGCATACATTTGCACAAAATAACCCCAATGCTTAAGAACAAAATGAGAAGATTTTTAAAAAATTAATTACACAGTGGAAAGCCAACAGGACTCACCTTTATTAAACCAACGGTATTCAAAGCAATACAGTGAGTAAAGCAGCGACATATGAAGGAGACTAATTAACTGCCCAACGATATCAATAGGAAACAGGCTCACAATCATCCCCTGGGAAAAGCAAGAAATCAATTTTAAAAACTGTTCCCTTCCACAGAAAACTCAATTCTGTACTTCGTTAGAAAGCGCAATTCTTTAGTCATTATGAAAAGCCCAAGAGACAGCACAGTAAGTCCTCGACTTACAACCGATCGCTTAACAACCATTTGCAGTTACAATGGACTCAAATTACTCACAACCCATCCCCCAAATTATGACTGCCACCACGACTCCCAATTGTATTCCTGGCGTTTGGCAACTGGCTCACATGAATGGCCAGTGGCAGCATCGTATCACTGCTCTTTGTGACATTTTTTGCATTTTCCTGGCAAGAGCGATCCATTGGATAAAATGACTTTGCACCTATAACCACACGATTTGCTTAATGGCTGCACTTGCTTAACCACCTCTGTAAAAACAATCATATTATTGAGTCTGGTCACATGGGGCCTCAATTTATGACTGAAATCCCGGTCCAATTGTGGTCATAAATCAAGGGTTAACTGTATACTCAATTCTCTTCTTCCTTGATACCCTCTGCTCCACTCCCAATATTAGAGCATTGGATCCCAGGTCCAAGGGCAACACAGTCCATGACCATCATTCTTGGCTAGAAGTCCAACTGTGCACATTTGAGCAACAAATCTGGCCTGAAGTTCTCTCTTGCATGGCAGGAAGACATGATTCCAAGAACTGTCCATTATAAACAGCTTTGAAGAAGTAGTAGTGTTAAGCACTGTGACTAGGAGAGAACTACCACATAAGTCAAACTGGCTAGCAACCTATTTATAAAAATATGGCATCATTCATTCCTTTTTCTTTCCCAGCCCTCTCTGCTTTTCTCTACCTTGTGGTTTATTTCTTGTAAGGTCTGCCAAATGTATGGTTCTGCATTTGGATGTCCTTCAAATACCAATTCCTGCTACTCTTAATGTCTGGATAATCTGGATTGAGTTTTTTATGCCCATTCTTACCTGGATGAGAAAGAGAGCTTGCAGTAAGAGGTTAAACAACATGTCTGCAATGATTTTACTGACACTGGGGAAAGGCTGCGGCTTCCTTCCTGACACTTCAAATGCCAGGTCAGCAATGTCCTGAAACAGAATAATCACACTTACTTCTGAACAAAATGGAAGAAGATCGTTGTCCTGAATAGCACTCAAAAAACACAGTACAATACAGGTAGTCCTCGACTTATGACCACTATTAGGAACAGAACTTCCATTGGTAAGCATATTGGTTGTTACATGAGTCACGCCAATTTTAAGAGCTTTTTGGCCATGGATGTTAAGCGAATCACTGCAATTGTTAAGTGAACTATGCAGTCATTAAGTGACTGTGGCTTTCCCTCTTTGACTTTACTTGTTGGAAGCTGGCTGGGAAGGTTGCAAATGGTAGGCACCTAACCCCAGGACATGGTAACTATCATAAATATATGGGCACATGTTATCATATGTGGTGGACGTGTCCCAAAGCAAAAAAAATGGACAAAGATACACAGGTGGTTAGAAAAGGTGATAGGGAAACATATAGATTGTAAACCTGAATTGTTTTTTTATTAGGTATAATATCAGAAAAATCTGTTAAGAAAAGTATGTTATTTAATATTACATGTCTTAACAGCAGCAAGGATTATTTTCGCACAATACTGGAAAAATAAATATATACCCCAAGATGAAGAAATACTTAAGAAGAGACTAGATTGTGCAGAAATTGATACATTGGAACTAAAAATTAAGCAGAAAGCGGACGTAGAATATTATGAAACATGGAATTTATTTTACCAATGGCTGGAAAAAATGGCCATGGATGTTAAGCAAATCACTGCAACTGTTAAGTGAACTATGCCATCATTAAGTGAATCTCGCTTCCCCCCCCCCCTTTGATTTTACCAGCTGGGAAGGTTGCAAATGGCAGCACCTAACCCCAGGACATGGCAACCATCATAAATATATGCCTGTTGCCAAGCACCCAAATTTTGATCACATGACTGTGAGAATGCTGTGACAGTCCTAAGGGAGAGGAACAATTGCAAGTCACTTTTTCCAATGCTATTGTAGCTTCGAATGGTCACTACAAATGGTTGTAAGACAAGGACTATCTGTATGTTATGGAATGGTTTATGTAGATAACCAAGAAGAGCTAGGCTAAGTTATCAATTTCCTCAAAAAAAACTACTTACCTGAAACCAAATGGCATTGACCACTTTACTGAGCACAAAGAGGGGGAGGACCCAAAGGGCACCGAAGATGGAGGTGAGAATAAATTCCAGCCAAGACCAGACATCACCATGTAATGATGGGTCACCTTCCAAAACAGAAACAGCGTTTTCAACAGTAGTAAGAAAAAAAAATGATTCATTACAATTTAGGGGCTTCACGTTAACTGCTATACCAGAAAAAGAAAATGTATCTTCCCTCTATAAATCTCATCTACTGGTCACAAGTAGAAAACAGATTGGTAAATGTAGACAGGACCATAATCATATGTTCCTTTAATTCAAGAGCATTATTTCATCTCTACAAAGATAGTACTATGTTCCCGTGACCCAAGAAAAGCATGCACGACAAAAGCACGCGGACAAAACCGCATCGCTAAAACCGTGACGTCATCAACGCGCTGACAACAGCGCGGCGACAACAGCGCGGAGACAGAAGGGCGCTTTACAACAGCGCTTCGACAGGAAGCCGATTTAACTTAAGGTAAGGGTTAGGTTTAGGGTTAGGTTTAGCGTTACGTTTAGGGTTAGCGTTACGTTTAGGGTTAGGTTTAGGGTTAGGGTTAGGGTTACGTTTAGGGTTAGTTTTAGTTTTACAGCGCGCTTCTGTCGCTGCGTTGTTGTCGGCGCGATTCAGCGCTCATTCATCGGAACGCTTTAGAACTTGCGGTTTTGTCACTGCGTTTTAGTCGGGCGCGGTTTTGTCGTTCGCCCTTTTGCCGGTGAATTCTATGTTCCAAGTTTGAAAATTTGAGGGCAAGGGAAGAGAAGAGTAGGATATGTTCAATACAGCCAATTGTACCCTTGTCTATTATAATTGGCTAGGCACGGCACAAAGAATTATTTACTTGGCAAATGCCTTAAACAATAACATACTTACCAATTACATGTGCTGTTGCTGACTGAAGCAGAGGGATGAATACCCGGTAGAACAAGAGGAGGCTAAGCTAATAAATGAATGAATGAATGAATGAATAAATAAATGAATAAATAATTCAATTTTAACTACTATTTTTTAAATGTGCATGCTATTATGGGAAAAGAATGTTGTCCAAGACCCAGAAGATGCAATTTTGTTTTCTACAACTGACCTTCAATCTTGGATAGCTTAGCACATACTTCATGGTTTTCCCCAAGTACATACACAAGTAAATATATGAATAATTTATCTTTAGAAATATGACAACTCCAGCACACACATCCATAGTTCTAGGGGAAATCATAACAGGGGAAAACACAGCAAAAAGAAACACTAAAATGCTATAAATACAAAGCTACAAACTTTCCCTAAACTTAAATTAAGGATATAATGTTCTTTGGATCCAAAATCAAAAAAGGTCCTTTAGAAAAATGTAAGGCTACATCCCATATCCGTAAGCACCCCCTTAAACAAACTGTAGCTTTTCTAGGATTTGCACAGTGCTATGGTTCCACAATCCCAGTAAAAGATGTATTTGAGATAACGAAAACTGATGAGGGGCTGCCAACATTTCTTAACTCAAACATGTATTTCCTTGGGATTGCGTGGCTATTTTTATTTATATTTATATTAAAAAACTGATTGGGTAACACTGCATCTACCAAGGCTAAATAAAAGTTAACTATCCCTCATCTGGGAAATAGTAACAATTTTAATCACTATTCAATTTGCTTTTCAGGTTACAGCTTTATCCAATTAAAAAGTTCAAGCAAGTAAGCATATTTGCAAAAAGAAGAAATTGATTCAATTATGTTGCTGTTATTAAAAAAAAGAAGTGAAAATATTCCTACCCAAAATACACCTCCATTCCATGCACAACATTGAAGTATTCGGCTTACTATCCGGGGTTCACTAAAGAAAAATAAAAGAAAGTGCAAAAATCAAATCTACATGTATTTTCAAAAAGCACATCTGTTTAAACACAGAAACAAATAGGAATGCTTGATATGGAAGCAGATTCTTTCAGCTTGGTAGTTTCAATCTATTTGCAACCATAAAATTTATTTGCAACCATAAAAATGCAGTATACATTTCCATTATTCTCATTAAATTTCAAATTGTTGGGAGCCCCATTTGTTAAAAAAAAACATTTGGTAAAAGTTTCCAGTTTTCCTTGTTTTTCTATGTTGTTAGGTAACCCTATCTAGACATTCATCATTTCAACTATTCAATATCATAGATATATGTAGACATACACACAACACCATACAGATATATGTATGTTCCTTAGCACCTAAGAATAATTTGCAGCCTTATTAATTTTCTTTTTCATAAAGTCAACTTTTTAAAAAACATGAATTACAACTATAGAAGCCCCTGGGCTGGAGACTGAAATTAGTGTCTTAAAATTTTCATTCCAAGTCTCTTCATACAAAGAATCCAGTGGCTTCCATGATGAAATTAAACAGCTATATAGAACATAGTCAGTCCCTCAAATGACACTGACTGAGAGCTCCACATAATAGAATATTTCAAAAACCTGATTTAATTTGGCCAATATAAAATAAAGATCCCTACCAAAGTTTGCGGGATCCAGTTTGTACACAGACTATGCTAGCAGAAGTGATTTCTAGGGATTCAGTGCCATCTTGGTGGTGGTACAGTGGTTAGAATGCAGTATTTACAGGCTACTTCTGTTGACTGCCAGCTGCCAGCAGTTCGATTCTCACTGACTCAAGGTTGATTTAGCTTTCCATCTTTCCGAGATGGATAAAATGAGGACCGAGATTGTTGGGGGCAAAATGCTGACTATGTAAAGCTCTTAGAGGGGACTGTAAAAAGCACTGAATTGATGATAAAACACTGATAGATGATTACTGATGGTACGACACAATTCCCAAGTTTGGAACTTACTTTTCTTGCTTCCTCTCTTCGCTTTGTGCTCTTCGCTGGGCAAGCACACTAGTTGCTCTTCTTTTCCGCTGCTCTTCCCTTTTCTGCTGGATCCGAGCATCCAGCTTGGAGATTGTGCAGATCCCCCATATGGAATCTTTAATTCCCTGGAGAACATAAACATCTAAATTCAACATACAGTATACACTTCAACAGAGTGTATGCAGGTAGTTCTTGACCAACAGCTGTTTGCTTAGTGACCATTCAAAATTCCAACAGCACTAAAAAAAAAGCGACTTATAACCAGTCTTTCTACTTATGACTATTGTAGCAACTCCAGAGTCACATGATCAGAATTTGGTAATCAGCAGCTATTTACTATAGCTGCAGAGCCTCAGAATCATGGATCTACCATTTGTAACCTTGCCAGCTGGCTTCTGACAAGCAAAACTCAAATTCTGCAAATAGTTCCAAATCCCTAACACGTATGAAAAATCCAGATTTTGAAATTTTATTTGAAAATTATTAAATGCAAATGATAAACAGTTAGGTGCTTCAGTATTGGGACTACAGACCGTGCAGGCTTACCAACCACTCGTTCAGGGACTGACGTTATGGCAGCACTGAAAAATATTTAAAGCTGTTCCTTGAAGTTGCAGTTGTCACAATCCCACCCCCACCCCAGGCACACAATCACAATTTTCAACTTTTTCAGCAGGCTTCCAACAGTCAAATGGGGAAGCCATCAGGAAGTCACCAGTCACATTGCATTAAACTTAATGGCCTACAGTGATCTACTTATTGGCAACAGTCAGTACTGATGTTGCAAGTTGGCACAGCCATGTAATGTTTCACTTAATGGCCCCACTACTTAATGACAGACCCACCAGTCCCACTGTGGTTGGTAAGTGAGGACTATCTGTATGTCAGAGCAGCAAGATCTGAAAGCCTTCAGAAAGCCTGTTCGTGACTAGTGCACTAATAAAAGTTTGTTCATATTTCATTAATTTAATTAGAAAGTGAAAACTAGAAACTAAATGAAGTATATGTTTACGCTGGCATTTGATTCAAAAACAAAATGTGGTCCCTAATTCAAGACAGATTGTGCACCCCTGCTGCAAATCCAAATTTAAACATCTATTGCCTGTATATTTTCTTCTGAATGTCGAAATGCAATCCAGTTAGATACTTCAAATGTCTGAGATAAGTTGGATACTTGCTCTAGATTTTCTTGTTTCTGCTGACCAGTTGTCATGATTCAACTTTCAAACAATTCTACCTGGGTGACTGAGAATCTTCACCGACATCTTGTTTCTCCTGTTTTTTTTCTAAATCAGATATCTAAGCAACTGCCCAGTGATTTTCTAGCTATATCTAACCCTTTAAAACAAGACTGGAAAAACCACTTGTCCGAAATGGCATAGGGTATCCTCCTTGAACAAGGGGTTGGGCTAGAAGACCTACAAGACCTCCCTTCCAATTCTGTTATTCTGTTCTGCTATTCTAATATTTATTATCTGATCATGAATATAATGGCATCACAGTTCAGAAACTCTTCAATTACTAAGAATCATAGAGTTAGACACAAGGATATTACACTTGAGCTTAACCTAAATGCTGAGAAACTACCAGAGTTAGAATTGGTGCTGATATGGATTTTACTTGATAATTATCCATAGTTTGTGAATGAAGTCCTGGAAGTTCCTAAAACTTCCCTTCTTCATACCATCAGAGAAATTTATGGGAGCTAAATAAATGTTAGTGGCTGAAACAATCTAAAATCCACTCTTATCTTACATACACTGTCATGTATAACAACAAGAATAAAAGAAAGTACTTACCCTGATAAGATCATTAAGGAAGATCTTGACGCTATCTGCCATATCTACGCCAGCATTGTCTCGACATCTAAAGCTATCAACTACAAGGTGTAGGGAAGAAATGACCCCAGGCCTGTCTCATTGTGAAAATATGAGAAATTGATAATCTGACAAAAGAACAAAAAAGATAGCTGTAAGTGAAGCAATGAAATTGATGTTATGATTATAAATGGTGTGTATTTGTCCTTAATCATCCTTTAATTCATATAGATCATGAAAAGGTTTACTTTCCAAGACCATATTAAATCATTTTAAACATGCTTCTTCCAGACCACAATAAACATCACTGCTTAATATATTTCAAGAAGAAGCAGCAACAAATAATACAATGTTCCAAATATTCAAGTCTCATGTTTGGGGTGTGGATAATTAGATTTAGATTTAGATTTATTGAACATTTATAGGCCGCCCTTTTCCCTGAGGGGACTCAGGGCGGCTTACAACAATGGGGGGAGGGAGTGCAAAACAAGACATAAAAGAAAAACGTAATAAATATATATATAAAATCTTGGCAAAAAATGTTTAAGATGTCACAGCAGTTTAACAGAGATGGTTTCCATTAAACACAAGTGAGACCAACACCCACCCACAAACATGCCAAGCCCATTCTCAGCCCCAATGAGATGCCAGCCCAAACTATTCTGGTTCTCTACTTTACTTGCTGTCATTTTCTGATATATTTTATATTATTCATTTCAGTTTCTATAAATTAATAAATATGCATGTATATTTTACTTAGCATTCAAACATTTTTAATTTTAAAAAAATCACAAAATACAAAGTATTCACAACTAGAATTTTATCTTTCAAACTTCTGTCTTTTCTTATATTTTTCAAAGTTCTTTCAACTAGAACAATGCTTCAAAGTCACCAAAATACCACTGACCAAAGTAAACCAAAGAAAACAATAATTTAGAATGCAAGCGATGGCAAAACAAATGGTGATATACTGTGAGAAGAATTCTCCAAAGAAATCAGGCTGGATGCCAATGAAATAAAAATAGGGATCTTTTATTAACAAACAATTAACTGGATAATTTCTCATTTTTATCTGTGAAGTTAAAATACAACCCTAACAAAACTGCTTCTAGAGACTAAAATAATTATAACCTGAAGCAAGATGGAAGGGTTAGTGAAGGGGTTGATGCCAGGATAAAAATTAATTTAATTACTAAATTCAATTAAAGGTAGTATGATTACTCATAATATTCTCTCAAAGGATATGGATGCCAAGGGAAAGTAATATAGGTCTCTAGAACATTAGGCTGTGACCTCTCCTATAAATACCAAGATCACTTGGCATAAAATTTAACAATATGAAGAAACCTATTTTGTCATAAATCAATTCAGATCTCCACAAGAATTATATATACATTACAGAAAATATAAATCAATACATGTACTGAATTTGAATCTAAACCTCTTCCAAATTAACTCTCAAATGGTTCATATTTCTAACCAGAACGATTTTATCTGCAGTTGCAGTAATAAGACTTAGATGGAAAGGATGAAGTACAAACTTTCAAAAGTCTGAGATTATTTGTAAGGAAAACTTTCAGTCTTGAAGAACTGTTCAACTCTAGTACTTTAAGATACAACCTTAACCATTACAATTTGTAGGAACCTCTCACTAAATCATGTCATTTGGGAACAGAACTATTACTGCATGCTGTACAGTACTCATTCATTCTCTTGCCAAGACAGAATTGCTCCGAGTACTATGTTTAAAATAATGTTTGAAATGCAACCGAAATCATGTTTCAGTTTAGAGGTACTATGCCACTTTCTAGAACAAATGCCTGTGTTATTGCCCCAATTCCCAGAATAGAAGTATCTGGTTCTGAGAAAAATCATATATTAACTAAGTTTACTGCACAACCTTGTAGGTGCAGCTAAGCCTGAAAAAATAACTTCATGACTGATAGTTTCTAGTAGGCTTCTAAACAATGTACTAGACTCCTTTTGATAAGATTAACTCAGATTATTCTTTGATGTGCTGCAACAGACCATCTCTCTGGCATCTGAACTACTTGCTAATAGTGTCTATTTGCTTGCTGAAGGAGAAGGAAACTTCTTCAAATGGGAGTGCCTTAAAATGTTATAAACAAACATTTCCCTACAGGG